ATCTGCAGAAGAAACTAAGTCACACAGGTTTAAAACAACATGCGGGTGAGTAAATGATGATAGATTTTTCACTTCAGGATGAACTCTGCTGTTACATTTGGCTGTTTGAATGAGAGAATGTTTCAAGGACAGCAGAAGTGATTTTAAAACATTTTAATATACTTCCGAATAGACTTTTCCAGCTCAAAATATTGCCTCAGTGGAACTAAAAAGGGCCACAACTTGATCTGATTTAAGATATCTGAAAATATAAGACAACATATTTTACTAGTTCTCCTTTAAAGCTTTAGAAGCTAAATATTAGATTATAAGAGAATCAGCCTACTGACCTTTTCACATGAGGTACTTATTATCAGATCATAGTAAGGGACCTTTGCAACTTTACAGATCTTCTTTATGCACCAAGAGCTTGTAACACTCCAAAGAAAAAGGAAAAAATGAAATTGCATCATATGACCCCTTTAAATGACATCCATTCATTGCATTGCAGCTTGGCGACGACAGGAAATAGCAATTAAAATGCTGCCAATCGAACTCCCCACACTCCAAACCACTGTGAAATCAACTACACAAAAGATCAAGAGATTGCTTGGTTGCAAAATTGGATTTTTACTTAAATTTGTAGCTTTTTTCCACTGTATGTGTGCCTGTGTGTGTATCTACAGTTGATTTCAACATACTGTATATATGTGTCTTTCTTACTTCTGTAGCATATTTTACAAACACAAAGGACATAAGGAAAGCTTCTCCTCTGCATTCTATATGGTCTCTCCCCTCCTTCTCTAAACCTGTACATTATTCATGTCCCAGTCACTGGAGACCCATGAGCTGCTGTATACTGGGTTTCCCTTTTGCCTTTAAACACTTTAATGCAACCCTAATATATCACATTATGTATTTCTCTGACACATACTCTCAGGAGTGTGAGTAAACACACATATGGTCTTTTCTCCCTTTTGGACAAAGTACACAGCACAGACCCGCTGTGATGAAACCCCCCTACATGTCTGCCTTTAGTTCTAAGTATTTGCATTTGGTTTAGTTTTTCTCCCTTTCTCTCAGAAGTACACACATATATACACACGTGCCCTACTGCACAGATGCACAAAAGACACACAGATCCTCCTGTCTCTGTGCACGAGTCTCTCCTGGGATCTGCATGGTCGCAGAATTTCTCTGTAAGTCTTTTACAAGATGCTTGACAAGAAACACACACCATCTGCTACTGAATGTGCCTGATGCATTCCAGAGGATCTCAATATTACCTCAGACTGCCAGAGTGAAAATGAAGACATTCATTATTCACACAGCACTTTTACCGTAAAAGGTCGTTTGACAGATTGGTGACATTAAAAAGCTGTTATAATGCTATATGTCGTAAATGACATTGCACTAAGCAAAGATCATTGATTTAACATTGAAATAATGTTAAATCAATGAGCTTTGCTATTTGGGATAAGGTAAATATCATAAGAATGCACCATTAAGCAAACTTTGAAGAAGAAGTGGGTTATATTCATCATTCGGTTATCACTCTGTCCATAAAGTTTAGCTAATAAAACCAAACTTTGTTAAGCGATAAGAGTGAATTAAGCTGCCTTATTTTATATAACGATCTTTTAATCATGTGGTAGATTAATAAAACGATGTGTGATTATCAGGGAGGGAGATGTGATAAGATAGACATCTGTTTAATGAAAACATTCGCTCAACTTTCATTCCCATTGTCCTCTTGTGAAATGAATTCTGTCATTGTTTATTCACCCTCATGTCGTTCCAAAACACTCTCGAAATATCTTCTTTTATATTCCACAGAAGAAAGAAAGTCGTAAACATTTGAAATGACATGAGATTGAGAAAGAGAACATCCACATTCTTCACAGAAAGCTCTCCCAGCCCAGACAGGACTCGAAGCGGAGACTTTCTTGCTGTGAGGTGACAATACTCCCATTAAGCCACTGTGACACCCCACTTTACACCTCCATTACTTTTACTTTCTTTGTAGCTGTAACCTATCAATCACTCCTGTAGCAGAATAATCTCACAAGAGGTTAATCTATTTCCCGCCTATTTGTCAGCATCTGTGACTTATCCCACTACCGTAAATCCTTCACCAAAAGGCTTGTTGTCCAGACTAAAAAGCCATTAGTTGAACTCTGTGTTAGCAATTCTGAGTTTTATTGTTGATCAGTTTTCAAAGCGGCTGTGTTACTTGCAGATAAGGACTAAGGAGGCACTTTTACACGCCATGGCGGTGATAACGCAGCTTCGCTGTGCTCACAGAGGCGTCTCCACTTTACTGGATCACTGAGACATGAAGGATTGGCTTTTATTTATCTCTCTCTCTAACTCTTTCACTCCATTTCTCTTTTGCCCCATTTCAGAATTCAACAATTCAGAAACAAATGTAAAATAATTGAAATTCTCTTAATTACTTTTACACGCCATGGCGGTGATAACGCAGCTTCGCCGTGCTCACAGAGGCGTCTCCACTTTACTGGATCACTGAGACCTGAAGGATTGGTTTTTATTTATTTCTCTCTCTAACTCTTTCACTCCATTTCTCTTTTGCTCCATTTCAGAATTCAACAATTCAGAAACAAATGTAAAATAATTGAAATTCTCTTAATTAAAGCAAAATAAATGCAATCGGTCCTAATCAGTAAACAAAAAACCTAATCAAATATATGTTATCCATCCATTCACACATTATTTAAAAATACGAATACATTCGGGTGATTCATAACTGTTTTTGATTCACTAAATAGAACCGACTCAAAAGAGCCATTCGTTCGGGAATCGGAATACACTGATCGCCTTGTTTCTGCGTTGTTCCATCCGCATGGCAAAACCATGCACGTTCGTGAAACTTTAACTGAACCGAACGTCATAAAAAATCATTCAGTTGTTCAGGGAACCGTTTCGGTTCTCGTTTTCCAGTTTTACTGAGCAGAGACTGCGTGGCGCGATTCTTGACTCTCGCGCAAGTCTTCACTGGAGAAGATAAGAGCATGTCAGTCGCGAGCTGAATTATTTAAAAAAACTAACCAGCCTAGCGGTTCTTCGCCTCTGTTTGTGTTTCTTTTATTTTTAAACCACAGCTTGATTTGGGCTGCCATGCTCGCTGAAAGCCAAACACACATAGTGGTCGTTAGCATGTGTTTATTTCCATATTTAATACATTCATTTTTTAAATTCAATTCATAAATAGGGACGAAAATTCAACAATTCAGAAACAAATGTAAAATAATTGAAATTCTCTTAATTAAAGCAAAATAAATGCAATCGGTCCTAATCAGTAAACAAAAAACCTAATCAAATATATGTTATCCATCCATTCACACATTATTTAAAAATACGAATACATTCGGGTGATTCATAACTGTTTTTGATTCACTAAATAGAACCGACTCAAAAGAGCCATTCGTTCGGGAATCGGAATACACTGATCGCCTTGTTTCTGCGTTGTTCCATCCGCATGGCAAAACCATGCACGTTCGTGAAACTTTAACTGAACCGAACGTCATAAAAAATCATTCAGTTGTTCAGGGAACCGTTTCGGTTCTCGTTTTCCAGTTTTACTGAGCAGAGACTGCGTGGCGCGATTCTTGACTCTCGCGCAAGTCTTCACTGGAGAAGATAAGAGCATGTCAGTCGCGAGCTGAATTATTTAAAAAAACTAACCAGCCTAGCGGTTCTTCGCCTCTGTTTGTGTTTCTTTTATTTTTAAACCACAGCTTGATTTGGGCTGCCATGCTCGCCGAAAGCCAAACACACATAGTGGTCGTTAGCATGTGTTTATTTCCATATTTAATACATTCATTTTTTTAATTCAATTCATAAATAGGGACGAAAAATGAAAAGATTATAATGTTAATGATGTTAACTCCCGTATGATGTAATTTTAGGAGACACCAGCTAGACGTGGTCAAACCTGCACATTGTGACATAAAGCTGATATACTGTATAGCCTGGATCTGATCACGATTTTAAACATTTCAGAGAGGCGGCAATCAAAACCCAGGGCATGAACTAACACCGTTTTTATTGTGATTCGAGAGAAAGGTTTAGACACAGCCACAATAAAAAAGAAAAGAAAAAACTTCCCATACCATAGACTGCAAAACGATGAATTACATCATGTTTACGGGAAAAAATGTATATATTCTAAAGGCATTAGTATTTTTTTCTGTTTTTGTTAAAATGATGTATCTCGTAAATTTATTAAAATTGTTTACAGCGCATCTCACATGAACAACTGAATAAGAGACATCCCGCTACACTTTACTGTATGATTCATTTAATTGATAATACTGTCTGAATTGTAAATCAAATGCAAATTTTATAACGCAACACGTTAGAAATGTGTAAGACTTCCTTATACGACTCAGGAAGTTTCAGGGTGGTGTGAAAAGTCGACACGCTTTGAAATGAAACCGTAAGCCCCTTTAAAGTCGTTTTAATAAGATTCCTCACTTAAACTTGTGATATGTTAATGCGAAGCTGGTTAAATATATCCACTGCTTTTTCACTTCGCGAAACTGTTGAAAATACATGCAACAAGCCACGATTTTAGAGAAATGAAGTTAGAGTAGTGGGAACAGGCTTTCTATCCATCCAGAGATGTGTTTCCAGACACACCCCGGAGCGGAGCGGGAGTGTTTTGCTATTCAAAGCAATATGTGATGAGATGTTACCTGTACGATTGTTTATCTGATCTGACGCTGGCTTGTGTTGCCTTTTTGAAAAGGTGTCAAACCGAAAGACTTGTGCAAATGAAAAACAATGCAATGCGTTTATTTTAAAGAAGTAATTTCTTTGTTGTTGTTATTATTATTATTTTTTGATCGCGTCAGATGTCAAAATGCAATGCATGTTTTAACCAACTGTTAGCAACGCTAAGTTTATCCCTGTCTGCATATGTCGTGCTAACCGATCTCCAGAAAGCATATATGGTAACATTATATCAACAGATAAAAATCAGACGATAACCATCTTACCTGACCTGTCCAGTTCACCTCTCATCGACAGATTCCTGGCGGATCTACGTAAAGACATCCGGTTAGAAGTCCGTATCCTCGCATACAGTTTCGTATTACTCTAATGTTGAATTTAAAACATATGGCTGAATTCCAGCAGTGGAATCCAGGTTTCATTCAGCGGGTGAAGTTTGCATTGAGCGCGCTCCTCGGAAACGCTATGCGCGCGTGGAACTGTCCGTGGTGCTGAAAAGGCGTCGCGCGCGTCATTGGATTCCTTGAGATTTTTTGCCACCTAGACTGAATTAGCCTACCTAAAACGCCAAAGAACACTCGCTGCACACAAACTTTTCTAAGTATTACAGAGCGTTAAAGAAATGCATTTGAAGTGTCACAGATTAACCTGTTATGCATAAATTGAACGCCCATTGACGACTCTAAGAGCGCGTGTGTGCATGCGTGCGTGCTCTGATGGAATTACATTTGCACTGATTTGGTGTCTAACCCTGAAACGGTGAGCTCAAAATATCGACTGGATTTCTTCAACTGAAAAACAACTCGAAAGTGGGGATGTACGCTAGATGCGTTTCCAATTCACCGACCACTGCCCCTACAACGAACGATTACTGACCGCATATCGTGAACTATCGAGAAAACTATGCTGACAACAACTTGACTCAGTCTGTTCTAACTGCTCCGCGAGACAGAATATGTAAATACGCCGAAAGACGTCAGATTGTGTCGGTTTTGTCTAATTGGCCAAGCACCAGTCTGCGACGGCGATGTATTAAGGTTGGCTTGTCAGAATCACACATCGTGAGATCAATGTCCCATTTCAGGTCGATAGACAAGTTTCAACATGACACGAGAGGAAAGCGCGCGCGAGGGCACGAGCTCCCATGAGGATTTTCTCAGACCGAACATAGATTGTGTGTGTTGACCCCTGACACATTGAGCCAGTCACATCCCATCTTGGATTATCAATGTTTTAGCCTACAACTTGCGAGAGAGTTTGTCTGCGAAATCTGTTTAGTTGTAGATCGCCATCAACGTTTTGAAAATTAGAGAAAGATTACTTACACAGATGGCATAGCTATTCCTCGAAGGATCCTAAACACGTTACATTGTAAGTGACAGAGTTAGTAAATAATACATTGATAGGCAAAAGAACATATTGTGCAGTGAGCAAAGTCAGACCATTTTAAGAACAACGGATAGTTGACCCAAAAATGAAAATTCAGTTATTTACTCACCATTATGTTGTTCCGAACCCCTATGAATTTCTTTCTTCTGCACAACAGGAAAGGGGATGTCAGGCAGAAATGTTAGGGACTGACAGCCTCAGTCACCATTCACTTTCATGACGTCTTTTTTCATACAATGAAAGTGAATAGTGACTGAAGCTGTCATTCTACCTAACATCCTGCCTTCCATGGAAAAGACAGTGCTCTTTTGAATTAAAAACATAGCCAAACTCTAATTAAACAATATCATACAGGTAGTGTTACTGTGGTGGTGACTATAAGTACAGATAAGATTCAGCCTCGGGTTGTTGTTCATTACAGCAGCACTATTGCAAGTGTGATACTATGTTTATGCAATAAGAAGGCAATAAATGAAAGATACATTACATACAAATATAGAAGATACATAGTGGCCACTTATTGGGTTTATTTTTGCTTCACCAATGAAAATAGGTCAAAAAGAGCATAACTCCAAAGTTCCTCTTTTTCTGTGCTTCACTAAGCTCACAGCAATTCTGTGACAAAGTGTTCAGAAGATAGAGAACCTGCCGGAGCTTTAGGATAAGGCACTTGTATTGATCTGTATTGTCAATGGCAAACACATCATCTAAACAGATCTTCAGAGTAACTGCACAACAAAGGAGGACATTTACACCAAAGGGGATTCCTGAGGCTTAAAATAGATAAAGACACTATTCTTATCAATTAATACTAAGAACTAAGGCTAGCAAATGACAGCTAGGGAATTAGTAACAATAATAATACAATAAATAATAGAACTTTACACAATAAATATATACACAACCATTCAAAAGTTTAGGGTCAGTATGATTTTTTATTTTTTTTGGAAATAAAGAAGGAAAAATAAAGAAATTAATACTTAGATTTAGAGACATTTATAATATCACATAAGATTTTTTTTGTCGTCTTTTCTTTTTTTCAACTATTAAGCAGCACAACTGTTTACAAAATTGATGATTCAAATAAATGTTTTTTGAGCACCAGGTCAACATCGAATGCATTCTGAAGGATCATGTGACACTGAAGACTGGAGTAATGATGGTGAAAATTCAGTTTTGCCATTACAGGAATAAATTACATTTTTGAAAAAATATATTAAAATAGAAACAGTTATTTAAAATTTTAAATATGACCTTTTTTACTTTACTTTTGAATCAAATAAATGCAGCATTGGTGAGCCTAAGAGACTTCTTTTAAAATCATAAAATAAAAAAATAAAAAATCTTACAGACCACAAATTTTTGAATGGTAAGAGTATACTTCATATCTTTGTTTAGTAAGAAGGTTGAAATAGCTGTTAAAGTGAACACATGAACCACAAACACTTCCCCCTTTGCCTTACACATACTTTATATTTTCTTGCAGAATCACAATGTAAAAGACTGATCAAATGACCTGCTGAACATCAGAATGCAACTGTCAGTATCAAAAGATGAAATAACGTATGATACAACTGATATTCAAACATTCTGACACAGTAAGAAAAATATAATCCAAAACAAACAACAGTCCTTACGCTGAAAACCCTGTTTCTCTCCTAATTAGCTTATGAAAAATAGAAAAATACATGGGAAAGAAAGAGAAAATATAGCCTGATTTACTTAAATATGTCCTGTGTATTGTTTGTATTGACTTTTTCTTTTCTAAAAAACAATAAATCAATTACATGCAGAGGGCACAAAAATAGTCAAATTAACACACTCCAATCATTAACAACATGCACTTTTTATTCTCACTCTTTTTCAGTTCTATTCTACAGCAACAGACAGCATTTGGAATGAATTATTCATGTTTTGAAGCAAACGTTACTGAATACATCATCTGTAGAACATGTTCATGAAATAAAATGTCTGATTAAGCTTCACTTAGTTGCGTTAATAATGTTACCTCATTTTCAGAATCTGCCTGATTTACTTGCTGCCTGAATGTAGTTGATGATTACCGTGGGAAGACAGACAATAGAGAAAGCCACATATACAAATCGTTTAAATAAATACAAAGCCGAAGAATAATGTGCATTTCATTAAGTCTTTAATATAAGGTTCTGAAAGGGATAACTGCTTGTTTGCTGATAACAAAGAAGTAACTTTTTGGATATTTAGGGATGTTAATTTCAAAGACGTAGGAAGAAAAAAAAAGCCTTTGATGATTTCAAAGACAGACAAACTTTCTCTCTCTCACACATGCACCCACACTCACATATGCGCTCATCATTCACCCACATTCCCTCTAATCCGCTTTATCCTTCACTCCTCCCTGTTCCTGATTGTTTCTCCCACCATCATAGGCTTCTGCTGTCCATTATGGTTTTCCTCCTCCACTTCGTTTTTCTTCTCCTCCTTCTCCTCTTCCACTTCCATGTCCAGCTCTTCAAAGGAAGAGCCACTGCCTACAGACTCACTGAACCCCTTGCTCCCTTGGTCCCCATCCTCACTTTGACCCTCTTCCTCACCCAGGTTCGGCTGAGAGCTCTCCAGTAACGGGGCTGAGGCCTCCATCACATCCCTGCTCTCTTCAACCACTTCCTGGATCACTGGTCTCGACTTTTTCTCCGGTTCACCTGGAACATAAAGTATATTAACAGGTTAATCAATTAAGATTTTGCCCCCGCAACACAGAATCCCTCTAGGCCACGTTTCTTGATACAAAGGAAATGTTCATATTGTGCCAAAATTGTTCTAATTCTACTCATAAAGAGATCCTTCAATATTATTAGGAACAATTCTGAGTAAACAGACTGAGACATTTGGTTAGAATTTACTCACCCTCAGGTCATCATGGACGTAGATGAGTTTGTTTCTCCATCGGAACAGATTTGGACAAATTTAGCATTACATCACTTGCTCACCAATGGATCCTCTGCAGTGAATGGGTGCCACCAGAATGTGAATGGGTGCCGTCAGTTCAAACAGCTGAAAAAACATCACAATAATCCACAAGTAATTCACACGACTTCAGTCCATCAATTAATGTCTTGTGAAAGTGAAAAGCTCCATGTTTGCAAGAAACAAATCCATCATTTTAACTTCAAACTGTCACTTCTGGCCAAAATATGAGTCTACAATCCATAACAGTGAAAAAGTCCATCGCCCTGTTGTCTTCTCACATCAAAATCATGTTTGTTTAGAGCCATTTTAGACTGTTTTGTTTTTTGCTTGTAAACAGTTCGTGATCTGTGCATATTTCTCTCTTGATTCCGATGAGGTGCCTTTTTCATTGGTGAAAGCAATATTATGGATAAAGGACTCCTATTTTAGCTGGAAAAAATAGTTAGAAGTTAAAAACTTCTTAATGATGAATTTGTTTCTTATAAACACACAGCTTTCACTTCACAAGACATTAATTGATGGGCTTGAATCGTGTGGATTACTTGTGGATTATGATGTTTTTATCAGCTGTTTGGACTCTCATTCTGACGGCACCCATTCACTGCAGAGGATCCATTGGTGAGCAACTGATGTAATGCTAAATCTCACCAAATCAGTTCCCATGAAGAATCGAACTCATCTTCATCCCGGATAACCTGAGGATGAGTAAATTTTCAGCAAATTTCATTGTTGGGTGAAGTATTCCTTTAACATCCATAAAAACTTTCAATTGCACAAAATGCTCTTTATAGTAAAAAAAATTTAAAAAAAAGATTCAGCTTCAGATTATAAAAATGTTCTTCATACTAAGAAAAAATGGTTCTTTTAAGAATTATTAAAGGTTCTTTGGGGAGCCAAAAACAGTTCCTACATGACATTGCTGTGAAAACCCACTCTTGGAATTTTTAAGTGTAAATGATTTTTAAAAAATAAGCTAATACAAGTTTAAAACTTAAATTATAAAATAAAAAATAGGAAAATGGAAGTTTAAAGTCCTGCTGTTACCGCTGATAGCCTTCGGGGATCCTTTAATGGCATTTCAGCATCAGAGGGTTACAGTCATTTACTAACTGCAGTATAATTGCAAGAAGCTGTGCTGTTAACGTGACACACACCAGGTGAGAGCTATAATTGCCAAAAAGCTAAATATAAGCTAAAACAACCCCCAAAGGCTGTGTTTGAGCCAAATTATAAAAATGCCTCCAAAGGGATTTCAAATATTTAACTCAGAATTAAAGGTGAGGCGTCAGTAAACA